ATGAAGTGAATTGGATCAGCAGTCCTGTAGAGAACTGAAAGCCCTGTCAATAGTGCAGACTTTGGATTAGCGTTAATTGGTGAAAGTGCAAATAGACGCTCACGGCTGCGATACCACGTCGGACACCCAACGCACACAGCACTGGTAGCTGGAAAATCAAAATGAGGAATGCTTGATACAATCATTTGTTCAAGTTTCTTGACATGCATCATGGCAGGATTACTGTCTAGAAAAAAAACTCCAGAGGTCTGAGAGAAGGTTTGTGCTGATTGTATTGAACATTTGTTTCAAAGTTTGCAAGCAATACAGCAAAATGAACTGATACGATAAGGTCGGTAAGGCCTCTATTATAAAAGGACTCATATGATAAGATGGGTCCTCCCTTGTTATAATATGTTCCCTGGGTCAGAATAACATGTTTTTTATTAGAACACCAGCCAGCAACTAGGGCTAAATGATACGGAAAACATATGTAATTCCGATTTTCAGGGTTCATACACTTTTTCACCAATGATTTTCAATGACGTTTCCATGACCTTTACCTAATTTTCCATGACCAATAAAATTACTCTTTCTCAGCAGTACCACTGAAAAAGGTTTATTTTAACATGGAACAGGAAAATAAGGTCTGCATATGAAACATGTTGTGCCTATCTAAAACAAATCCAATAGTTGGCTTACTACAGGGTTCTTACACCTTTTCCAAAGTCAAATTCAAGCACTTTTCAAGCATTTTCAAGGTGCATTTTCAAGCTTTTCAAGCATCTTACAGCTGTTGTAAATTACATATTTATATACACATACTTATACTCAAATGATTATTTCCCTACCTCACATTAAATCAGATGTTCTTTATGCTATAAACAACCAAATGTGTGTTTCATAATAGCATTCTACATGAGGATGAAAAATTAAAAATGTTAGAAAAGAAAACTAAGTTTAATATTTCAAAATGAGTGAGTGTACGTAGACTGGGCATCCCATATAACCTGGCTGAGCCAATATAAAACAATCAGCTAAATAACTTTTCAATATATTATTGATTACTATTTTTGAGGTACTTTTAGGTTGGCAGTAAACACAAGTCAGAGGTAACTGGTGTACTTTTCCTCCACTACATGTATTTAATACCTTTAGTTACTTCACAGATGTGGATGAATGATGTGACATATAATCAAGTGTTAAATCAGACTTTAGTTCCACCTGGAGTAAATTCACAAGCTACCCTGTAGTATACAAAGTCATTCAAACTAGCTGCAACTTTACCAGCTTTGATAACACTTTCATGATCAATCATTATAAAACATATCATATACAATTATTAGGGATGCTCCGATCGCCAATTTTGGAGCCGATTGCCGGAATCAGTATCGGCCGATACCGATATTGCTCTCTCCCCCTCTCTCTCTGTCTCTGTCTCTCCTGACAGCCCGTCAGTATCTCCTGCAGCTCACTGATCCAGTAATGAGCGACCCGACAGTGAAGAATAAATATATTTATAACTAGTTTAGCTTGTTCCAGAGGTAGATAAAATAGCTAAGTGTGTTAGGTCTAACTCTTAATGTGTGTTCTGCTCCGCTCACCGGTCCGTCACAGCGGGTGGAGCTGCAGGATTTCTGCTTCACACACGCGTTGCATACCGCTATTTTATTGTCATTTTCGGACACTTAAAATACTGCCAGACTAGTGAAGCCATTTTGGCGAGCTTGTTTTGCCGTGCACAGAGAAAAGTGTCATGCATTTTACATGCAACGATAGCCTAATCTAAAATGCTCTACTATGGCGTACCTTTCGTGTGGTGTGTCGCTCGTCAGCGCAGACTCTCGCATCGTTATTGTTGCACACTTTGCAGGAGGCTACTCTTGGGCTTCGCTTGACCCTCGTCTTAGCCATGGCTTGTATTTGTCTTCTGCTAGCCAACGCTCGTTGAAACGGCAACCTCCTGGCATACTGTCATCTATCACTCTCATCAGAATGCCCAGGTCACACACGTAACAAAAACACTTGCCGGTCACGCGCATTGCGCGGGAAGGCCGGAGCGGAGCTGTTTTATGTAAAAGCGAAGCAATTAAGCGCGCTCCGACTTCTTTATTTTCTTTTAATCTAAAAAGCGAAGTAAAGCATTTACAATTTCAAGCACTTTATCCCAAATTCTAGCACCATTCCCAAAATTCAAGCATTTTTCAAACCTTGAAAACACCTCGTACAATTTCAAGCATTTTCAAGGATTTCCAGCACCCGTACGCACCCTGTTACTAGCTTCTACACGCTAAAGCAACTAAAATCTCACACCAGCAAAATACCTCGACAGTTAAATGCCATTTTACGTTTCATTACTATACGATACAGTATGTATTATCATTATAGTATTACTGTTTCGGCGATTAGCTCAAATATAAATTATATTTGATGCAACTTTAGTTACATTTCCATGACTTTTCCAAAACTCTGGGAAAAATATTGTTTTCCATAACTTTTCCAGGGCCTGGAATTAGCATTTTGAATTTCCATGACTTTTCCAGGTTTTTAATGACCGTAAGAACCCTGGATTTTAAACAGTATTCCCATTGTGATTCAGTCTACATTTCTCTGTAAAGCTTCTCTTTTTCTGTATTATATACTATAAGCAATAAATCGTTCTATATAGTGGGCACGGCCTGTATAAACGAGTGGTTTATATGTTAACTTTATCCCATGTTGTGTTGATCTACATACAACGTGGGATAAAGTTAACATGCTCTTTCATGTAGGCCACGCCCAGGTGGTATATGATCAAATTAGATACATTGGTGCATGATTTGATAAGAGGAACAACATTGTTTTTAGCTTTAAACATTACAAATCTTCATTACCGTCGAATATCTTCCAAGGTCAAGGTCAAGGTTCTTTATTGTCAATCTGACATAGCTACAGAGTAATTATGCAGTTGAAAATCTTATGTCACAGGCTTCTCCAACAATGCAACATAATAACATAACATAACATAATAACAATAAGAGCAAGAGCAATACAAAAATAATAATAGTTATAAAAATGAAATAAAGTTATGATGTGGAATAGTGCAGTATGAGTCTATATACAAGTTATTGGAATGATATATATATATTAGGTATTAGATACATACTACTGAGTAGCAGTTGAATGTTTGAAGTTGTTTCAACAGTTCAATTTTTTTAACAGTCTCACTGCCCGCGGGAAGAAACTGTCTCCGAACAGTTTCCCTTGTGACATCAAGCCTGGTGTACATAATATAATCCTCATGACTTAAATAAACTTAAATAAAATCAGCAAAACAGCAAGCTTCATGTAAACATGTATATTTAAAGATACATTTGGAGCTCCCTTCAGCATTGATTCATCTCCAAACTGAACTGTATACTTCTACTCGACAACTGGACAAAGGTGAGAGCCCGCTGCCCAGACCATAAACAATGTAGTGCAGTGAGGATAGGCATTTCATACACTCATGTGTGTTGCAATAAGTACAGGATCCAGTCTTCAGTGTAGTTCATATACTTCGCTGATAGCAGCAGGAATAGATTATTAATATGTAGTGGTGCAGGAATAAGTCCTTAGACACAAAAATAAGTTTGCATTTTAGCAATTTCCGGCTCAGATGCCTGAAAAACGGTCTGTGGTCTTCAAATATTTGTATGTTTTGAACAACATAACATTTGTTAGTGAACACCCCACGCTTCAACTATTATAAAGGTGGTGTTAATATGTGAAGATGAACTGCTGAACAAGACGTGTGAGCATCATAAGTGTTTGTTTGCCAAAGATTTGATGCAATATTCCAAAATTCTATGGGAAAATTCCATTACTTTTCTGTCAAGGGAGTCCTTCTGATGCTAACTTCTGCTTTCGACTACACAAATAGGTCATCACTGCACCAGTCATTTGATTGAAGAAAGTTGTAAACAGGTTTTAGTGCAGCGTGGGAATATCACACTCAACCAACAGCAGAGAGGCAGTCTGCAACAAAGTATGGGAAGACAAATGGCTCTCTCTATGAAAAAGCTCTCATTCTCTTTCTTTTTAAAAATACACTTAAAAAGGCATAAAACAATGTCTTATGACCAAGTTTGTAAAATACATGTCTTCATTTGAACACTAAGATTTGAACACTGTAAACGTGTAAACCTAATGTGTTTCAAATATTGTTTGTATTATCCTTGATTACTAATAATTTGTCAACCCTTATTTTTTGATTATTTAGTATTGTTATGAATACATACAAAATAAAATTCACAGCAATACCAAGTACCAAACTGTAGATTTAGTGACCTACTGAGAGTGTATACAAAGCAAATGATATCAAAATATAAAAAATGTGATATTATATATGGCTCACTTCACAACCAAACACAAACATTGACTGTCAGGAAACTGTCACACCACAAAGTAAAAGTAGGATGAACACAGGATTATATAAAACTGGAGACAAAGTCAACAAAGCACTTCAAATACCAGACATGTCCAACAGCCCTGGAAATGTAATCCACTCCTCACACAGGAGAGGTAACAGCTACAATGAATGTACTGCTACACAGAGCCCAGAGCTGCAGTGTGGAGACCCGTTGGTAAACGCAGGTTGCACGTGTCAGGAGCTAGAGCAACACCAACAACACCTGAGTTCGTTCATGCGTGCGTGCGCGCGCTGGTGGTGGTGCAATGCCAGACCCCCCCCCACCTCCAGCAGCTCAGCCATGGATGTATAACACCGAGGAATGTGTCTGTGTTCCCGGGCTGAGAGCTAGCTGCCACACCAACACCACCACACACAACGACCACCTCTTCAGAAACACGCTGCGGTAAATTACTGTCTCTAAGCTGCTGCATGTATGGCGAACAATAGCCATATTTTCGACATGACTGGAAATGAAGGAAAAAAAGAGTCCTGACTCCTGCGTATCGTCAGCGGCTCCAATAAGGTTTGAGTCCTTACAGGAGTGACAGGCAGGCAGGTTAGCATCACTAAGCTAGTTAGCCGTCCTTACCTGGGTCTCCAGCTCCAGAAAACAAAGGATGCTGCTGCGGTTTCTCCCCGTTAGATTGATGCGTCTCCTCGGCCTGACAGCATCCTGTTCCCAGCCAGCAGCACCCTGCCAGACTCATGGCCAGACTGCACGGCAATCATACAGGCACTTCCGGTTATCACTTTCACAATAATTGCCTATTTGGGTCTAAAATGTGGAATCTATATTACGATAACTTCGCCGACGTCTATATGATTAATAGTTCATAATTGTAGTCAGAACGCAGCCATGTTCTTTTCTATGTAAAATACACTTTAATTTAAAGCGAACACATTTTAGTTCAAAAAAAGTGTTTGTTGTTGTTTCAGTACAAGAACCCACATATTTGCACCTTAAACGAACTATATGACTAAAGTCAAATATGCTGAAATTAAAGGTCTTTAGGCCTATACTTTGTTTATATTTACCTTCAATCAAGTTAAAAAATGTAGGCTATGCAAAGTAAAACATCTTATATTTATAAAACATATCTTCGTCCTTGATACTCGGGCCGGGGTATTTAGTTAACACAAACTATAGATAAGTTACAGATATGTTTCACAGCATCAGTTGCCTCCAATGTAAAAATAAAATCCTGTTTAAGGTTTAAATCCTGTATTTCCGGTTATAATTGCACTAATGCTAGCTACCTTGACGGAGCTACCGGCGGCTCAGACTCTGCATGAGACAGATATGCGGCTGACCGGGAGAACAGAGGGAGACTGACTCTCTTTACTGCATTTTACACAGATTAAAACAATCCACACTGTGATATATAGTTTTTTAATAGGGTTTCCTTCAGTATATTCCTAGGACTCTGTATTCTTTTAATTACATTTGAGTTAATCTAATTGTTCGATGGTCAGTTCCCCCCTTTAAATATGAATGGAGCGGTCCAGTCGTTAAAGGGCCAGTGCGTGCTTGTCTTTGACAGCTCTTCAGACCACATTGACAGCTTCCCATTTATCCTAGCAAATAGGAAAACACTTCCTATTCTAATTACTGGCTGAGAGGCACCTGATGCTAAAAGCTTTTATGTTGCTATTTATTTTCATATTTTTAACCATGAATACCGTTTTGCTCTGTCACCTATGTCATGATTTGGGAATAAGGACTAATAAAGATATGTATTATTTTAAATATGCTATTAAAATCAAACTTTATATGTTCAATTATTTTTTCACTTTTCCTCTGGGGTTAATTTTCATAGTATGTATTCTAATTAAAGCGTAGCCTTCTCCAGGTATAAAGTGTTATACTTCCACAAAATTGCTGGAGTTGCAAGAGAAAGGTGAGGAAAAAAATGATCAAAATTTGATTCAGAAGAGGCCATATGCCTTTTTTTTTAAATAGGTCAAGCTTAAGAAAAAAAAACAATCCTACAGTTCCCATGATGCACCTCATTAGCCCTCACTGACTCGTAAATGGCCACATACTCCAACCTTCACTCCATCAGTATGTAAAGCAGACCTTGACATTTCAAACCACATACAATCAGATGGATAGTTTTCAAAGTAAAATAATGATATGCTGAAAATCCACTGGGCTTTCTATTTAACTCTCCTGATACAACAGAGTTCATTTATAATATTGCCCTCTTCTATCTGTAGTCCCCGTTAATCACCAGTGGGTGTGAATGACTGTCTGTGTGCTACTATGAGGACTGTACGTGTTAGGGAGAGCTGAACCAAAGCAAATGTGATCATGTGTGCCTCCTCGGGGAGTGGTGTGTGTTTCTGAACGCTAAATCAAAGAGGTAAGATGCTGCAAAGTAAAAATGTAACTGACTTCACACTCAGCCCTAAAATTATACTGCTGTATGCACACATAGAGCGAGAACATGGAGAGCAAGAGAAAGCAAGAGGGAGGGAAGGGAGTCACAACTAAGAGAAGGAAAGGTTAAAAAACAGAACACTGGCTTTTTGTTGTTTTACGACTAATGGAAGCTAAATTAGATTTGTTAGACTCTCTAGTGATGTCTGCTTCATGTCTGTCCGAAACATGTCTGTCTTGCAAATGCAACATTTCCCTGTCATATATATTTATATGTCCATAAATCCTTTAGAGTCTCTCCTCTGTCACATCACTTACAACCTGCCAGGCAGATATTAAGTAGCTGCTAGTAATTCTGTCAAATGAAATGCAGGTTAAACTGAAATGGAGGTATTATAATTCATGAAGCAGACTCTAGTCACTTTGGACTTGAACTGTACACGGTAAGAAGAGGCTACATATAGGGATGCTTTGTTTTTCTACAACTCTTATTTATGGCTGTATACACCATAACTCTGTATTTAGTGAAATGCCTCAGAAATCAATTGAAAGCTTTCAGGTTTTGCAAAAATATTGCAGGCAGGGTACTCAAATTAATAAGAAAAAATGACCATGTTTATCCTGCTTACGCCTCCTTGCACTGGTTACTTGCATTCTGTCAGAAAATCTAATTCTTTCTAAACCATGACCTTTTCCTGGGAAATCATTAACAGTAATGTTGCACATACTCACTGTGAGGAAAAATTGAGAAACATGTGACTACTCCTTACAAGATTTGGTTGCCATTGGAAAAAACTGTTGTCCAAAACTGTCTCTGTTGATGTGGAGGGAGCAAAGGGGGACTTGCAGTTGGTGCGTATTGAGATGCAGTGTGATGATTCTCTCTGAAGTCTCCAGGTAAGAGTTCTACAGGTGTTTCAAAAGATGAGGCACCATAATGACAGGATCCTCTGTATTTTGACTCTACATGCAAATGGAAGGTTGCAGACCTCCACAACAAGATCTTCTACTGACCTGACACCAATTATTCAGTCCAAGACCTAGTGTCGATATTCCTATTATGAGATATGTTAACTGCTTATTAATAGAAATAATGTACCCCTAGTCCAGGAGGGAACGTAACAAAATATGAAATAACCGGGAGAGAGAAAAAAGAGAGGAAACTGATTGCTGAAGCCACAAAGTGAGGTTTTAATTAATACAAAATAAAGAGGCTAACTAGCCAAATTGCAAAACAAACTTAAGTAACTAAGAACAACTTTCTTCCAAAAGAAAGTGACTAAATAGTACAACACACACAAAGGTAAACTGGAGCACATCTCCTTACTATTCACCAACACACAGGTTACTAGCACAGAGACAGAGACACCATGCTGCACACGTGCAGCCGGAGGAGAAGGAGAGAGCGACTGCAGCCTTCCTCAGGTCCTTTATGGAGGCCCTGAATGGGGATTGGGAGCACCTGAGGGAGAGGCTGCACCTGGATGGAGACAATCAGGGGGAGAGGGAGAGGGAGACACAAACACAACACGGCACGTAACACCCCCCCCCACATAAAATCAAACTAGAGTTTGAACCGAAAACACCCAAGGCAGTCACCAAAACACACACCATGTACAGCTCACAAGCAGCCAACATGGAGCGACACATGGAGAACACACATCACCCACAGAACACACATCCACACCGCTCCGAGCCAGGTCCACACCCACAGCTTCAGAGACGGGAACACCCACATCCACGGCACTCCCACAGACGGACGCAGAACTTATTGACAAATCACCACTCTGTCACATTGCAACTGGGTGCCGCTCTTTTGGTTTAACTATATAGACTGCTTGGAAGCTGCCACTTGCTGCCACATCATCAGTGTTTCCCTGGACCTTCAGTTTTTTGGCTGGACTTTAGGCAGGACTACATTTGGTTGAATATATTTGTTGTACGCCATAAAGCCCCTTGTTATTTTATTCAAAGCACCTCCAAAACTCTTCCCTATAGTCTCAGACTGGCCAGGGTGGTTTCCACAGATGGAGAGGAGGAAAGAGAAGAGGAAACGTGTCGAGAGTTACGTAGTAAGTGTGTGCCTGCTTCACTGAAAGACAGTGCTGTTTCTCTGCCATGACACACACACACACACACACACACACGCACACACACACACACACACACACACACACACACACACACACACACACACACACACACACACACACACACACACACACACACACACACACACACACACACACACACACACACACACACAGCCTCTGAGGCTCGGTGTTTGTCATGTGGGCAAACCCCCACACTGTTACCTAGCAACAGTAGAAGACCAGGCTACAGAGACAGCATCCTTGTCATCACAGACTCACACAGGATCAGGCCCTGTGGATCGTTGTTTAGGAAACAGAGTGTAAACACTGGCTGGGTTCAAATGTACCCAAATTGGGTAGTTGTTTACCCAGCTGCTGGTTAAATGTAGGACAAAAGTTAATTTTAAATTATAAATGGGTCAAAACATATTTATGTTGTCCTAACAGTATAGAAGCTATAAACAATTTCAAAATCAACATAAAACTAGATATGTAATTCTAATCCAAAAATACATGTTATATGTCCACATGCATATCATTAATTCTTACAATAGAAAAATACATTTAAGAAAAAAAATATTAAGATAAAGTTATTTTATTCATATAAAGGATTTTAAACAAAAATAAATATAGACATATATTTTTCATATACAGTCAATGGCACTACTGTATGTCAAAAGGCTAACGTTAGCTAACGTCTGTACATTTACAGTCACAAGCTAACAATAGCTAACAGACATTAGGTAATGGCGCAAACTAACATCAGCTAACATAGATGAGTGACAGTCACAAGGTACTGTTACTATCGCTACTTTATGTAAGTGACAGTAACAAGCTAACATTGGTAACTGAAAATAAAACCTCTCTGTAGGCTTTACAGTGTGTACAGTCACATCGGATAAGAAGAACTCCCCAAAGAAAGCCCATAGTTAATGTGGGAAAAATGGAAAGAAACCTTTGGGAGAGCAACAGAGTAGGGATCCCTCTCCCAGGACGGACAGAATTAAATAGATGCTGTGTGTAAAATGAAGACCTACACAATTCCTAATGACATCTCGTCAAAGGTTTTAGTACTTAAGTTAGGGATTATTTACTAGTGGCATTATGATTTACTGCTGGATTTATCAGGTTTTAAAAATGTATATAATTTAACCTGTTAAGCCCTGAGCCTGTTTTTCAGGTCTCAGGCTCGAAAATGACATTCCCA